TGTAGTGGCAGGATCTAAGGATCTTACCAATGAATACATTTTGAGCTCAGAGGAACTTGGCAAGTCTAAGCTCCTGGAGTTCAGCTCCCGCACGCTCACCTGGAAGCTTCTAGTGGGTCTGAAGACCTTGATTAGCTGCTTCAGGTGTGCTGAATTCATTTATTTGGGCACCTTTGGTAAAGACTGATTAAGAGTGTCTTTATGTCACTAAACACTTCAAGATACATGACCGTGTCAGTTTTATATATATATATATATCCAGAATGTGTGAACGGCAGTGTCGTAACAGATAATATTGTGTGTCCTTCTGGGGTTTTCCCCCCTAAAAATGTAGGAATCCTAAAACACATTTTTCTAGATCTTCTGAATTACTAGAACATTACAAGCCGGTGTGTTTGATCAGGGTTGGAACTAAACTGCAGAACGGTAAATAAAAGAATAAATAAATGCAATAAATGATTACTAATTTAATAAATGCATTAGTAAATACATACATGTATGGCTAAAATATGAATTATAAAACAGATACACACTCACTCACTCACTCTCACACACTCACACACACACACACACTTGTACACACTCACACACACTCACACAAACACACGCTTGTTTTTCAGCTGCCTTGGTATATCCTCTGTTTCCCTACTCCCTACTTGTAAATGCATTTGAATAAAATATATTTTTCATGACAACCAGAACGAGAAATGAATCTAACTGGCGCTCTGCATGTGATTGGCTGGATCAAACACTGGGTTGATAGAGAATGTTTTTATCGAGCATTGTGTCAACTCTAAACCTCCTCAGAAAGCCAGAGTTTGTTCAGCTTGCTTCACAGCTTTCTGTCGATCACACCTGTGGTGTAGGAGATGGGCTTATATGAGCCATTCTACAGAACTGGTCCAAAGCCAGAGTTGGAAACGTCTTGACAAAATGTGTATGTATGCAAATTGAATAATATCCCAGGTACACATTTATTGTGCAGTTAATTCTCATACTGTATTTTCAGAAAGTTTTGGAATATTTGTCCTCTCCCCAAATTTGTCACTACCGAAACAAAGTAATAATAATTTAATTAGAAGGGTTATATTGATCTATTAAGATTTTGCTTACATCTAGATTGAAAATATATATTTTTTGCTATTTTACTAAAAAAAATTCAGAGGTAAATCCATGGCAATTCAATATATAACAATATTTCTAGTGTAATTTATGAGATTTGTATTTTGAATCCAATTTTTCTTTGTAAAAGGCAAAAAGTTGATCATACTGATTTCAAAGTTAAGGGTTCATTAGTTTGAATATACACTGAACCGAAAACTATCATAATATCTTAGTTGATAATCCAGCATACTTTATTTTTGACAAAACATCCCATGTTTCGGTAGTGACAGTACTGCTTTGGTAGCGACCACATCACATTACAGAATTTTAACTTGCATACTAAAACAGTACTACAACATACTAAAATACAAAAAACTGCATAACTGTACTAAAATTGTTTATTTCCCCCAAACATGAGGATTATGTGTTCTCTTTTGACTGTTTCGGTAGTGACAATTCTATGGAATAAAACCCAAAAAGCAAAGATGTCACTACCGAACCTCCACTAAATGTTTCGGTAGAGACAATTTTAGATCATTTTGAACCTAGCTCAAAGATGCTAATCAGCACATGGTTAGCTAGCACGGGGGGGATCGCTGGGGCCCCACAAACCTCTGGGCCCTATGCACTCTGTCACCCTTTTCCCCCCAATAGCGACGCCCCTGACCCCAGAGCATAATCAACGTAATCAGCGCGCGCATGCTAAACGTAAACAACGCTGATTATGTTCTGGGGTACTCTCCAAAATGGCGGAAGACGTTTGTTGTTTTTAGACATAAATGTTTATTAAAATGTTTTTGTAGGTTTTGGATTTGGATACATATTTATACATTTTCAAAGACAACTTTAGATTTTTTTTTGTTTAAAATGTTGGTTTGAAATGTCAGTTTTTGCATTTTTACTACAGTCAAACCTGAACACAGAGAAAGACATTTTATACACACAACATCAAAGTAAAAAAAAAAAAAAATGAACAGGAATGCTTTATCCGAGATTATTGAATCTGATTTTGTGTCTGTTTTGCACTCTTGATATTTTAGAGTGCCATCCCTTCATTGCTGTGCACGTCTGCATCATGAACAGTGGTGTAGTCTAGTTTGTTGTAGCGAGTTTACTGTGATTGTTCCCTCCCACACTCACTAATGCATACAGTATGCATCTACATATAACTGAGAGTATTCTGAAAGACTGCTTATGTGATATCAACATGTCAATTTTTTATAAGCAACGCAAGACTTTAACAGTCAATGACATTTACAGCTGGGGAGACTGGACTGCTTTTCTACTGTTTAGTGTTGCATGTTATATGAATATGGTCCATGGAGCACAGGTTTCATCAGCTGGCAATTTTCCATGCACATTTAAGAGCGCCTGTTTTTAAATTCCCTAGCCTGACCTTCAGTCCACAAGGCTGGCCAGTAGTCCTCATCTCTCTCATCATCTGAAACAAGGAGATATAAACATTGTATTCGGTTTAACGTAATTCGGTTGTTGTTGTTCAAGTGTTTGAATTCAAACGTGGTTTAGAGCGCTTCGCACTTATGATGTCATAGAAGGCTGATCTTCGAAGCATCTCAACTGCAAAAGGTTTGTCATGTAACACGACTCTAGCCAGTTCTTCTGAAAGATTATTAAATGTTCAAAGGGAATCCAGGGGCCTCTTTGTTCATCGGTTCCACATCAGACTCGCAGCCGTAAGGATGTGCAGCGATGGAACTGGTATGAACATTTTCCTTATTGAAATCACTGATGGTAGGTGAACTTGAAAATGTAGAAACAGACCCAGTCTATAGTGAACAAGTGACAGAGCTGCACAACCAGTCTACAAGTTCAGACGCTACTTATTTCCATCATCAAAACTATGAATAAACACAAATTGGTGTATTACATACTGAAAGAACACGTAAATCATAAAACATCAAAGCTCATATCATATTCTTGAGCTTATATCTTATAGCAAATTCTCAAACCATTAACCTGGGATCCTATTTAAATTCATTTCTTGTCCTGCACTATTCGGTCCAACGGATGTGTTTATTTAAAGAGGTAAATTAGACAATATATCATTTTAATTGGTAAAAGTACACTGTGAAAGCAACTAAATGAAAGGACTATTATTACATAACTATTTCTCAATGAAACAAAACATACGGAAGATCATAAATTCATTCCAGTCTGTCCACATGTTTGACTGGTAGTGTACACGGATAGATAGCGAAAGAGATTGAGAAACTTTGTTCACACCACAGTTGATTGTGGCCCAAATCTGACATGCGTACATCAATCCACCCTGGCATGATGTTCACTGCAAGTGACACATTGAGGCATGCAGAAATTACATATCTAGTTACAGGTTTTTCTCAGTTGTTGTTTTTTTACAGTGCATTTCTCAGATCACAACTGAAACTCTCAAAACGATTTTTTCAGTCTCCACATCATCTAGTCAACTATGCACATCATAAAAGCATTTTATCGTTCTTTTGAACAAATTGCCAATGTACAATTGTCTGCTGTTTCCTACATTATCAATTGCTTATGCCATGTTGATCAAAATATATTATACTGGTTCTCTGTTGAAAAGTTTTAACACCCAAAATGCCTAGGCATTAGTTCATTGCATAAGTCATTACAGTTTTTCTCAGTCACTTTGGATTAGGGTTGGAGCTATGTAACTCTGCAGGACAGTGGCCCTCCAAAGGGACCAAAGTTGCCCAGCCCTGATGTAGTGTGTCGTGTCGTATCATGTACTTCATGTAATGAGATTTCATTCTGTGTGAAACTTCAAAAAGTACCTTTTCTCTGCTGCATGTTAAACTTTTTGCACATCACTTGGGGTGTTCCTGTGCACCGTATGTATTGTCTATGGGAAATCCTGGTTAGGGGTGGGAGTCATGGACACAATGTTGCCCTGAGACAACGAAAAAAAAACGGAATTTCTGAACATGCAAAATAAAAGAGACAGATAGACAGATAGATAGATAGACAGACAGACAGACAGACAGACAGACAGACAGACATCAGACAGACAGACAGACAGACAGATAGATAGATAGATAGACAGACAGACATTAGATAGACAGACAGACAGACAGATAGACATTAGATAGATAGATAGATAGACAGACAGACAGACAGACAGACATTAGATAGATAGATAGATAGA